TGATAAAATAAGTGTTGGAATCAGATGCTTCACATCGGGCCTGACTTATTGATCTGTAAAAAAAATAAGAGTGTACGCTGCAGCAGCCAAAGGTTAAGAGGAGAAACAAAGACAGACAGACAGACGGAGGAGGAGGAGAGATTAAAAGAGTCGGAGGAGATGGAATCAGAAAAAAAAGGATCCTATTAGTTGTTATCCTGCAATTTTGCATGTGCAATAGAGAGAAGGAGAGAGAGAGAGAGAGAGAGCGAGAGAGCTTGCTGGTCTAGTAAACAGCAGTGACGTGAGGATGTTCTGCTGGTTTGACAGCTGAGGCAATTACAGTGAGGCTGCTGCAGGCTTAAAGCGGCTCTGATGGGCAGGCACACACACAAACCGACGATCACTCCATGTCTCTCACCCCTCTTTCTCCATCCCGACACAGCCATCCTTGTTTGCTTTTTGCCCTCTGATTTAACTCACCTGTCTTTGTCCTTCAGAGACACACCACTTATTGACTCTGTAACAGTTTCCCCTCACATTGAGTTGTCCACAGAGGGACAGAATCTAGAATATCTACTTCAGGGTGTCAGCTATTCAGTCTAATAATCAGCTACTTACCCTTAATTTTTTTTTTTTACTTGGTGTAAAGAGGAGTTGTGCAGGTAAGTATAGAAATCCTCCCATGTGACGCATGACCCATGTGTTTCCATCGACATCGCTAGAAAAAAATGTGTCTAAGGTTTTCATATGATGACGTATGTGCAAGAGTCTGGAGACTGCTGTTTTAGTCCTGTGTACTTTATTCCTGTTCTATTAATCATGATGTTTTTCATGAATACTCTTTTGTAACGATGTACTCGAGGTTTCATCATTCTCACACACAACCTATTTGGGAATCTGCAGAAAATATCATGTAAAAAATATTGGCTCAGAAAAAGAGTAATGGCAGTGTTTCCCACACATAGACGATACTTTTGGTGGGCCGCCCAGGTATATTTCCAGAGAGAGAGAGAGAGAGAGAGAGAGTCTTGCATCAGAATCAATCCTTAAAAAGAGCAAGCTGCACGCAGAGCAGGACATAAAGGTCTCATTCACGAGGCTCTATGCTCTGTGAATTAGACCTTGAGACGCAGCAGGGAGGGAGAAAATGATGCCCATCATGCCCCATCCCCCATTGCCCAGATACAGCTTCACTCTGTGGGAAACCCTGAATGATAACAGGCCTTTAAAGGAATTTTTGATTTCTGCACATTATTGTTAATGTCGACATTTTGAGTTGTGCTTGTGCTATGCTATTGGGAATCATGCCTTTTGTCTGGACTGAAACATCTAATTCATCAGATTTATCATCAGTAATTCTCACTGTCCAGAGAGGTTCGATTCCCAAACTAGGCAATTCCTACCGTGCCCAAGCATGTTGGAGGGGGGGGCAATAATGCTTAAGCACTGAATGGAACAACTGGGCCTCTTGTGAGTGCGGCCTTAGGAGGACTTTGGTGGACTCCATCTACCACCCTTTGGTTGTCCGAGCGTCGATGTGTATTCAGGTGAACTGTCTGTTTCTATCATTTATCCAAACACACGCATCAGCAGGCATCTTCATTAGAGGTGCACCGATTGACCGGCCTGATCGAGGCCAGCCGGTCCCTTATCCTGTGCAGATTAACACAGTGGAGGCCGAGAGTCTCATGCACAACAAACCTTTATGCGACAGCACGGCACAAACACACTAACCAAAGTACACACAAACACCATCCACATAAAGTTCCCGATCCGGCCTCTGTGTGGTTGAGATAACAGCCGTTATCTTTGCACTTCATTATGATTGGACAAAACTGTCTTCCCTCCCGCTCTGCTTTAAATTCTAACATTATTCCTCGCTTTCTCTCTCTCATGCCAGTATTCCCCTGGCCCCTCCTCTCTCTCTCGCCCTCTCTCTCTCTCTCTCTCCCTCTCTCTCTCATAGATCTATTCTGACCTTCAGTTTCGACACGGCTGTTTTATACAGCGTCCATATTTGTCCGAGCTGACGAGATAAACAGGACAGAAATACATTAACATGAAGTGGTTTTTATCTTAATTCATTTCTGGAGAAAAAGAATGGACAAAGAAGGTGAAGATTTGAAATATTAAAAATAGAAGACGGAGAACAAGGGACTTAAAATAAAAGGTTTATTTTTTGGCTTTCAATGCCTTTATTTAGAGAAAATGAAGGACTGTAAATAGATTCAGAAAGGGGGAGAGAGAGGGGAAGGAGCTTGGAGGGCCGAAATAGAGGGGTTTATTGGCACGATCAAATACAGGATCAGAGTGGATTTTGAGGAGCTCTGAGACTTATTTAAACTGGTTGAAGAGGAGGATGATATGTGACCTTTAATACATAACCTAACCTAAAAGCATGGTCGCCATCATCACAGGAGATAAACCTTCATTCACTCAAAGATATTGACAACATGACCAATCAGGAGAGGTATGAGCGCTTACAGTGTGAAAAGCTGATGAGGCACCAGCTGAGAAG